CGACGTCACATGATTCAAATGAAATTATAGCCTTTATATTGTTGTTTGAGTTGCTTGTCGCGCATCAGAACAGAAGGCTGAAAACTCGGAACGGTGTTGCTTTAGTCGAGAATAAATGCTCAGAAATATTATTGTAGAGCATGCGACAAACCTTTCGTGTTCACCTGTCATGATTATCTGCATATAACATCGACTAATTTTTTTCATTTAAAAAAATTCTCTCACAAACGATGATAAATAGACATATTGTAACTTGATTGTAGGTATTTCAATAAATATAGTTTCCTTATTATTTCCAGTACTTCTACAAAAGAGTGCATTGAACTGCCTTGTTTATTTTGCACGCTCTGAATAAATCTTCTAGGTTGGGATTGGGGTAAACAGTCATACGAGTCATATTAAGAAAAAATTGCACTGAATTTAATATCCTTATTTATTAATCTTTCACCATAAGAATTATGTTCCAGTTGATGTAAATATTTCACCATTTCTATTAGTTCCACAAAAAATCTCCGGAATCGTAAACAGATATTTCTGAATACAAATTTCGTTTGATTTTTCCTTGACTGTGAAATATAACACTTTAATGCTCATTTCGTTTTTCCTGGGTCTTGTTGAAAGCTTCTAAGAACTTGTTAATATTTTCATTAATGGCAGCGATCAGATTCTGCCTGTTGCTTGTTACTTTCTAGCATCTAGTTCCCCTGGATGATAAAATTAAACAACTTCTTGTTGGTGATTTCCCGCAATTGTTATGTTACATAATGTCTATAGAAAAAAATTAACTTCCCCGATTTTATATATACTGATCTCTTTTACTGATTTTGACACTTCATCGCTTCTTCAATATGCAATGAAGAAGCCTTCAAATTCCATTATAAAATACGATATTAAAAAAAGTAATCCCTCTTGTCGAATGATATAGAACGAATGATATCGTATGGTGTTAACCTGTTGATTGGAATGTCGTCTTACAGTTTTGCAAAAATGCTTTTTTCACGCATGCATGGTATATCATCATTTATTCCGGGTTGCGTAGGGATCTCAAGAAACAACCTGTGTAGCTTGCTTTTTATTATTGCTGGGATCTGTTTTGCTTTTTTTCAATTCGCTAATAAACTAATGCTCTGGCCGAAATAAATTGTACTTTAATTGAATCCACTGTGGACTGGAATAAGATGTTGGCCCTTCGAAAAGGGTTAGTTATGTTATGCCTAATAAGAGATTGATTAGATGGTGTTATGGAGGTAAAATGTTTGTATTTAAACTGCCGGTCGATGTTGGTAACAAGTCCACACACCACGACAAGCTTTCGGCCTTTGTGTCGGAATTCATCCTTGCACGAATAGATAGAATCTCACTTCAATTTTCTTTCTTGATTTTTTTTATCGTGAGGGAGTCATTGCAAACTACTGTCCATCAATTCGCTCAATCCAATCTTAGAATTGGGTGATCATTCAATCCTAACATCACTCTACTCGTACCTCGGCAATACTGTATACTTTCTAAATAAACTGAAAATATATTTCATTTTGGAGTGAACCGTTTTCTTATATATGTTTATTATATGCAGAAACCTACTAAAACAGGCATGCAACGTTTAATGAAGAGGATCGCCAATCATTTCACCTTGTGCATCAAGGCGAACTAGCCAATCAAATACGGCAAGGCATACCATCTCAGCTCGTTTGTCAAACTGGCTTATATTAAACAATTCATTATACTGTAATAGTATTGCGAAAAGAAAATTAAATTTTGCGATACGACAAATCAATCAAAACCATATGTCATCAATAAAAAGAGTAGAGAAATATATGGTAGGAATGAGACCTTAATTTTGGAACAATTAACCTTCCTCCTTTAACATTGGCTGTGAAAGTATTTTCCATCTCTTGGTAAAGTAAACATTTTTCTGCAAATAATGTAATTTCATTAGCTTTTAAAGTTTATTAGATTGTCTTTATAAGTGAAAACTCTCCAGAATCAAAAACTGATTAGTCTACCAGGAAGAAATCTTTCAGTACCTTTATTATTCCCACCTTCCATGCTCAGACTAAGCTAATCAGCAGATTTTTTCAAATCTGCTATGCTGCGGTGATGACTGTCTCAATGATAACCCTTCTCTGTTAGTGGTTTTATACTGGTATATTGTTTGACAGCCTTTGGCAACTACAGTCTTGTTTTTTGTTATTATGTCTCCCGCATGGAAATGAGCTTCACATATGGATGCTCTGAATATAATTATGATACCAATATCAGAATACGTAAAATTTTCTAGTAGGACAACCTTCTAAAACGGAACCCTCTCTAATTGATATATTATTTACAATGCTAAATATATATTCTATTATTAACCTTGGCTCTGCAAAATAGAAACTTCTGAATCAGAAAAAAAAAATCTAAATACTTTTTAGCCTGACTCACACATAAAGAAAGGCAATCTGGCTAAACTAGCATCTCTGCTGTTCAAGCTTCAAAACTTATTCGTGACGCAATGCATTTCCAAATTGATTGACATAAATCGGTAAATATATATACCTTACGTTTCATTGTGCAACATTTCCATCTTGTCTCGTGTTATATCTCGCATGGAAAGCATGTAGTTTATGTTCTGATGCTCCTTTTCATCTCCATTCCTTGCCAAATCGGGCCTTTTGACACACAATAATAAATTCTTTTATCAGCTTTCTGTCGACTCCATCAGCAAGCACCCAAGCACAGAACAATATGTAGCAGGCATTTCTATTTATAAATAGTACGGTAGCAATGGATTCCTGTGAAAGGCACAAGACATCCAAACAATACATAACTGCATCGGCTACAGCCAGATAGCTGAGACCACACGCGCCACAATATCGCTTTGAAGGAATACCACAGCGCCTCACTCAAGCGTAACGAGAGAACACGTGCAAATGAAACGAATTGCAATGTGGAATTGTACTCATTCGACTAGGGCCTGGTAAACTCGTTTGGTCTTCCTGATCTCGCCCTAGACATTTATACTCCCGTTTCGTATCAGTGACAGCCTTTTTCATACGCGCAGTCTTCATTTCGTCCGATATTACTCAATTCGCAAGAACCAAAGGTCATGTTGAATCTTGAAATACAAAACTGACATGTGGGGAAGAATATTTAGATTTAATTAGATGTAGTCATTGGTTTTGGTGAGTAATAAATAGTAGTGAATCAAAATTGTCGGCGCATCCAAGGATTCTGCCAATAATTTACGTATAACAAAGAAAGAAGCGCACGCAACTTGCCCCGGACGAATTTCATCAGCGCATAAATCGTATAAACTAAACAAGCGCGTATCCTTGCAGGCTCTGAAATTTTATATATATATTTAATAATGTAGTTTCCAGGACATGATAATATCTCGTTCATTACCATATCGCTGACTGATGTTTTGTGTCACGAAAAAACATTTCGCAAATATTCAATCGTCTTGCGCCTAAGACGGTAATTCTATATTCAATTCCACGGCGCTCTCGTAGTATGTGCACCAACAAGGCAGACACACAAATTTTTTATAATTTTGCTGTTTCAACTCAATTTCTCCAGCATTTTGAATATTGTATTGGCGTTGATTTCTCTTCACGACGCTAAATAAAATAACTGTCGATTGTCGCACATCAGAAGAGACTGCCTGAAGAAGAGGATGGGCCCGCGGGTGATTTTGCAGGCGGCATCAAAGTACTGAGCGTATCAGAACGATGAATTAGCGAAGTAAAAAATTTCAATTAAAAAAAAATAAGAGGAAAAACATGAAAACGGTACTTAACATGTTTCTCTTTGACGACTCCTAAAATTATCATTTTCTTGTGGAAGAAATATCCTTCGATGACCCATCCAAACGATATGATATACAATGATACAAATCTCTCGTACGTAATGCTTCCGTATTTTTCAGAAATATTAATCTTCTCGTAATGGCAAATTTTCACTGCTTTCCGTAAGTCCATTGCATCAACTCATTTCAACGGCCGGGGTCCGTTCACTTCGTTCGACATACATTAGGCCTGATTACATGTCCGCTGGAACCGGTCTATCAGACCACAAAAGGCAACTTTTTTCACGCTTCAGTGGTTCGCCGCGATTCAAATCCATCCCATCGGTCCAGAACACCAGACCACCTATTTAGAAGGTCTGGAAGTGGACTGCACCGCTCTTGCTCAGTTGCTTCGTCGTGCTACTCGAGAGTCGTCGTTACGCACGTTGATCGAAGGGGTACGGTACCGGTACGGAAGTTGTTTTCCTTTACATTTCTGGTAAGTGAGTTGCTTTTCGAATTGTAAAAAAATTGTCTAGACAATGTCAGGTTCAATTTAAACCTCTCCTAGTCTAACGTCAGTGACCCTATTACCGCCACCCCCGCAAACTCTGCCTGCCCACTTTTAACGCACGGTATCTGAGAAACATGATGACTCACACGGTTTCAATCAACACAAGCATGTTCGTGACATCTAGTGAATTATTTTTAATTTTATTTCTCACCGAAGGCCGTTGCCAGATTGAAATGGCCCTGACCCAAAAATTGGGGCGGTAATGGGATGTGCTTTTTACGCTCGGCCAAGTTTGGCGGGAAAGGGTTTGAGCCTGGCAGGGACGTTTGTTTTTCGTTGTTGTTCTTGAAGGAGCTTCCACTGCGTTAAACCAAAATATAGGCTGAAAATCGTGCCGTTTTAAAAATTAAAGGGGGTGGCGGTAATAGGAACGTTGCTCAGGGAATTAAATATTGGCCGAAAGTCAAATTGTGTTGAACCAAATTAACTTGGAAGGATGGGAAAACCTAGAAACGCGGGGAAGAGAATCAACTGGAAGGATAGCGAGGAAATGAAGAAGGCATTTGAGGCGGTGAAGGTCAGCAAAATGAGTATAAAAGGTGCGGCAAAGAAATATGGAGTGCCTAGAAAAACTTTTAAGTGATCGGGTGAACGATAAAGTTGAATGCCAGAGTTGGGCCTCCGACCAAAGTTAGTGAAAAATACGAAGGCTCTCTAATGTGGTATATTGAATATCTGGCCAAGCGAGCCTTTCCACTCACTATAGACATTATTAAAAAATATGCTTGGGCGGTTGATAAAAAGAGTGGTAAAAATTTATTTGGCAAAAATGGTCCCAGTCGGAAGTGGTGGCAAGGCTTTAAAAGTAGAGCAAAAAAAAGGTTTGATTTCCGCCTTCGACGACCGGATATGCTCGATAGATCAAGAGTGAGCGATACAATAGTAGAAGACTTGCGGGAATATTTTAAACAACTGAAAGAGGTCATGGACAAATTTGATTTTCACTCTAAACCTTCTCGAATCTATAATTGCGACGAATCTATGCTCGATCTTAACAAAAAAGCTCAAAAAGTTATTGTTCCTGCTCGTTCTCGCCACACGTATTACCGCCAGTCAGCTTCTCGCGAGCATGTCACGATACATTGTGCGGTGAATGCCGGAGGACATGCTCTTCCCCCCTTTGGTATTTTTTCAAAAAGTTTTCCTGGAGGAAATTACGCCAGAAACGGTCCTCATGGCGCTGTATATGCAAAATCGGATTCCGGGTTCATGGACTGTGAATTGATGCTGAAATGGTTTGAGCGATTAGTTATTAAAAATAGTCCATCAGATAGGACCCCGGATAATCCAGTTATACTTTTATTAGATGGTCATGTGTCCCATCACTCGGAAGAACTGATAGCGGCTGCTCAAAGGGAGAATGTAATTTTAATGGCATTAGTGCCTCATACCATGCATGTGTGCCAACCTTCACAAAAGTTTGAAATCTAATATAACCACTTTTCTAAATACCGGCCAAGCCATTCGTGGTGCACTGTGGATAGCAAAAAAGGAACTGCCGAGAATTCTGAAAATTCCTTTTGAAAAAAGCATGTCCATGCACAACATCGTGAGGGGTTTTGAAGCATGCGGCATTTTCCCTTTTAATCCTAATGCCATCAACAAGTCTAAAGTATTCCAAGGAACGCCTTGGGCTGATCTTGATGTAGATTTATCTGCAAATTCATCTACACAAAAAAATAACAGGAAACGAAATTGCTACTCAAACTCAGCTGGATGAAGAAAGTGAGCCGTCTTGTCAACAGCACGTATTCGCCACTCTTGGTCTGGTGCCAGCAGAGCTGAATGATGTTTTCACACCACCCAAGGATTTCATCCCAAAAAACAGAAAACGACCCCTTCGCGTAAAAACATAAGCGCAAGTACTGACAGCTAATCAAATTTCTGAAGATCTCGAGTGCCAGCAAAAAATGATTGAAAAAAAAAACTTGAAAAAAAGCGCACAATTAAACCCCCGGAAAATGCACACACATCATCTTCTTCTTCAATAACGAATGTCACATTTGCGACAGGAATTAGAATAACGTATCTCACGAGGAACAAATATTGTGGGTTGATTGTTTGAAAGATGACATTAATGAAGTTTTAAACATTTTAACAAAATGTTACAGCTCTCAATTGTCAGACTAAGCAAATATATAAGAAAGAGTCCTATACGAATGTGCACGTGTGGTAAAGTATTTAGATGAACAATATATTCACTGAACCTAATTGATGCTATTTTCACAGATAAATTCATTTGTGAATTTGACTATCCCAGTACTAAAACTATATATTTCAGTAGTATCAGTGCGGTTACTTTACTAATATAATTCAAAAACTGTTTACTGGAATATCAAAAGATTTTGGCTTCTTTAAATAAGTCCGGTGCAGCAGGATATGGTGAAATTACATGGCCATACTTTGACGAAATGAATTTAATACTGGGACATCGACCACGAAATATTGTAAGAACAGCGCGTCTCATTTTCTGCTCATAACAGATATTGGTGGAATGAATTTTCTTGCTGTTTTAGGTTCTGCAGCCTGGTACATCATGTGGCATCGATTCTTCAGACATTTGCAGCTATGACATATTTTGCCCGATGTTACTCTTACTGCGTGTTGTTGAACGTTTTACTAAAATAATTCAAAAGTGTGGTGAATCACCACTGCTGACACACTTTAAATTTTCCCATTCTGTAGACTTAAAATTGGCTGTTTATAAAGGTTTTTTCTCTTAAAGTAATGCTAAATTGTACCATATCAATTATTGAATTGCACTATGCATTTTAGCAATACCCCTTCCATACTAAAAATATTGTAGGCTAATAATGACTGCTGATGTGAATATTTCAGAGATTGAATCACAAGAAGTTGTGGAAATTGAAAGGGATTGCATTCATTACAAGTTGATTAAGGAATAGTTAAGTTTTTATTTAAGAAATAATTGGGAATATTTTAGCACAGAACTTGTCAATTTTAAATCATTAACATTTAATATTAATACATAAAGGCTATAGCAAAATCTTTATTTTAGTAAAAAGTGGGATAGATTCAGATAATTTATTTTTATCATGCACAGTTTTTTTTATGTCAGCATTAGTTTCAATTTGTTTTACTTCTTGCATCATCACTTTCCATATAATTTCTAAATGATGTATCTGGCAGCACATTAATTTGTTCGTTCATGATCATTCTTGCTCACAACTTATCTGGCAGCATATTAATTTGTTAGTTCTTGATCATTCTTGCTCGCAACTATTATGACTTGTAGAACAGTGTAATGAATCGAATGATTTGGAATTATGATACCGTATGATTTATGGATTGTGACTTTATTATTTAAAAACAGAGTGAAATACAAGTTGCAGACTCTCCTCAGGATGACTTTGCAACAGAAACAGACAATACAAATGATGAAGGTATGTTATAAACTCTGGAATAAAACATTTTATTTTTAGCAAACTACTCTTAACAGAAATTGACACAAGTTATTTTGGAGCTCCCTGAGTATGTGAACCAAGATGGCGCACAACCTAAAAATAGTATGTGTACGGTACCAGGTTAGGGTTCAGGTTGTGCGCCATCTTGGTGCACATACTTCGGGAGCACCGTTTTTTTATGTCAGCATTAGTTTCAATTCGATCATATGCTAAAGCATTATCGTCCGATTTAAAACCTTTTTTCAGAAACAGCAGAAACTTCAACTGTCGAAGAAAACCAGATACAAGGTACATATGATAAATTTCCTCACCAACTTATCAACCACACTTGCCATACATATTTATTTGACTGCTGTTCTTTCAGGCAAATTATTTGTTTTGGGAAGGTGTGTGCCAAAGACAAGTGTGCCTGTTTGTAAGGTTACAAAGTGTAAACCACCACCAGAGTAGAGATTCATAAAACCTTTAATGACACGACTTGGACTGGCGAATTATTAGTCCTTTGGTCACATACCTTTCCCTGTCTTTATTGGCGTTTTTTCACTGTTTTTAAGCGTTTTAGGAGGGTTAATGTCCGTTTTCAGGTGAAAATGGCGGTTCAATTCTTCGGGGGAATCGTCTTCAAATGTTCTACTTCAAGGTTAGCAACTTAAATAAATACTGTCTAGGGCAGCAAAATCACGAACTAATATGGACGAAACCATGTTACATTTTATTTTTAAAACCTTGAATGACACGACTCGGACTGGCAAATTAGTCTTTTGTCCGTATTTCTTTCCCTGGGTTTAATGTCTCTGTTTTCAGGTGAAAATGGCGGTTTCAATTCTTCGGGGGAATCGTCTTCAAATGTTCTACTTCAAGTTTAGCAACTTAAATAAATACTGTCTAGGGCAGCAAAATCATGAACTAATATGGACGAAACCATTTTACATTTTATTCTTAAAACCTTGAATGACACGACTCGGACTGGCAAATTAGTCTTTTGTCCGTATTTCTTTCCCTGGGTTTAATGTCTCTGTTTTCAGGTGAAAATGGCGGTTTCAATTCTTCGGGGGAATCGTCTTCCAATGTTCTACTTCAAGGTTAGCAACTAAAATAAATACTGTCTAGACTCTAGGCCAACAAAATGACTGACTGATACGGACGAGACCGTTTTAAATTTTTTGTTTATTTTACAAGTGAAATTAGCTGTAACTGTGAATGGATTGTTTCATTCCTCAAACAGGAACAAGTCAACGATCATTTAGGAGAAAAAGGGCAGTTGCAGACAAGGGAACAGGTAAGAAAAATAGTTTTAACAATAGATGATTATCTACAGAAAGCCGATTATTCCAGATTAAATCTTTTTTAGACTCAAAGTATCAGTAAATGTAAGTTTATTAGTAAAATGGTTGCTGTAAAACACAGAATTTTTAGTTAAATTGTAGTAGGCGAGTGCAGAAATTCACAATCTTTAAATACAGTTCAGCAGAAATGAACAGAATGAGAGATAAATGACCAACAGGAATTTGTTTAATTTTGTGCAGGGGAACTAGAAAATGCAGTGAAGCTGATGATGGAAAGCAATAAGAAACAAGCAGTGGAAGACAGAGCTGCAGCTAAGGAAGATCTGGAAGCGCTGATAACTGCCATTAATCAAAACACTGATAAATTTATAGAGGCGATCAGCAAGGCTCGCGAGTGATTTACAGCATTATGGAATCTTGCAGTTGACATAGCTTTTCAGACTTGTCCAGTCAGAACTTAAGATTTTCATTGTCAATAATTTCTACTGTCCCATGCTTTTGGAAATAAATACCATTTCTTTGATAATATTAGAATCTAGTCTGTAGTAGATTAAGGAAATTCTCCCATAAGTAGGTACATAGCGCATCCCTTGTTTGATCAGCCGCGGCAACCCTCGTTTCATTTTGTCTTTGTTCCATGCCCCTTGTTTGATCGGCATCCCACCTGTCATTTTGACTTGGTTCCTGCATGGCTGATTCGCAATCATCAATTACCAGGGGTGTCTGGTCGTTTTCCAAAATGTTGTGCAATATGCAGCATGTGGCTACAAACTCCAGGCTGACTGGGACTGCATTTTTTAGAATGCGTCAATGTGCTTTCAATATTCCGAATGAATTTTCGATAATGACTCGACTGTGGTAGTTGTTGAACGAAGTTTGTTGTGGAGTCAGTGCACCTGTGTATGGTTTCATCAACCATTGCAGATTCGGATACGCTGCATCCCCAGGTATAACTAGGGGGAGTAATGTGCCATTTATATCAATGGGTGCCTATAAGAATAACAAGTTTACTAAGTGTTAGCGGCGGTGTGTGGATTATCGTGCTAAGTGTTAGAAATACGCTTGCCACCGCACCTCTGATTACTATGCGGGGATAGTCATGTGCGAGAGGATTGCTGGACTCCTCGTCGCCATAGATTGGTTCACATAATCGCTGGTCGGTTACGCCTTTCTCCACCATCAAGTCCATGCCTCCAAAAACAAATAACTAACTAATCCCATACCCGACACGGAATAGTAACCGGACGAGAGGCCGTGGTTCGCCATATGGTTAAGTCGTCTCATCGGCTTTTCTCTCCCTCAGGATAAATATGTTAATCTTATCCTAAATAAGTCTCTTTTCTACCTGAGATAAACTGGTAGATTGTGTGAATATTCCAGTACAAATGAATCATGGCATGAACCAGACATTAGTTAAAAGATCTCATAGCATTGCTACATTACTGAGTGTGCCTGATTAGTTAAAAGATCTCATAGCATCCTTTCCTTCGCATAGTTTGACAAGAATTGACCTGAACAAGTCACCAACCTGTAAAGGCAATCTGAAACAGCCTGAAGCCCATTGATGCAGTTCCCTTCCTGTTTATAAAATCTGAATGGCCATGCTTAGGTGGATTAATGCGGATGTGGGTACCATCGATGGCGGCATATGCTTGAGGAAACTGGGTATGTCGAGCTAATTCTTTGGCTTCCGCCTCTCCTGGCATCTTTATGAATTCATCAACATGCTTCACTAGAGCTTTGCAAAAACTGCAAATAAGAGTAAATAGAAAGCTTGGTTTTCCCCAATTTTAGAAATCTTTCAATACCAACTGCTTCTTTTCAATCTACCTCTGCAAGTCTAGTCAATATATAATATATATATATTGTTCCTCTTAGTATGCCTATTTCACTCAGATTATACTAAGACTAATATGAAATAATTTTTCTTTGTTGATATAAACTCTCTAAGTCTTATACACTTACTTTCTCAAATGCGCAGTGACCGATGGCCTGGAAACACCGAAGATTGAAGCAGTTTTGCTAAATTCGCAGGAAGACGCCAACTGATGAACCGCCATGGCTACGCGTTTGTGGAGTGGAATGGGTTGACGCACCCAGTGTTCATCTGAAAATAGGAATAACTGAATAGTCTGAAAATATAACCATTTTTTAAAATATAAATGTTTCCATCTCACCTGGCTTCATGTCTTCTTCTACGATCTCCACTATTTTAGAAAGGTCGATCGTTTCATGCGAAAGTGCTTTAGCCACTCTGCATCCGAATTGTGGCGATCTATGATCAGCCACCAGTCTTCCGGTCTGAAAATATCGAAAAATATAATGGCACCTGCATGATAAAGCAACAGCTGTTAATCAGGAAATTTATTTTGGAAATGTATAACAATATATAATGGAATGCTAGCTACATTTTTTGCTGACCGAAATAAAGTTAACATTGCTCACAATTTGTTTCTATTATTGAGCCATGATGTAGTAGGGTACCGTACTAGGCCAAGTTTATATTACCTTTTTAGCATCCAGTATTTTTTATTTCTTCTTTTTGGTCTAAATAGCATGGAGAAATTAGCAATATGTCGACGCCTCCGGTTCATCCTTCGTTGATGCTCCCGTTGGAAGAAGCGTTGACATATTGCAAGTAGATTAGTCAAATAAATAATAAAGAGAGATACAGGTAAGTCAGCTGCCATATTGTCTATCTAGTTTTAATAAAATAGAAATTCCAAGTTATTATCTCCTCTTCAACTTATTATCTGCTTTGACTTCTTTCAGTACGGTACTATTACGTGATTACTGTTCGTGCCAAGACTTGCCGGGGAAGCGAACGTTTTCTCGGGTTCGCTCGACCGCAACGATCCCGCTCAACCGCAATAGCCGCTTAGCATTTGGACATGTAATAGACATCGCTAAGCGGTCTGATAGACCGACGTTAATCACCCTGATTCAAACCGGTTCTCAAGACCACATTTGGTGGACATGTAATCAGACCTATTGATGCTGGATTCCAACGACCGCAGTATACCTCTCCGGATTCACGCGTTAGTCCCTCGATACCATCCCAAGAATGACACTAATTTTCCGTTTACAATCTTTTATTATATAATTTCAGACGTGAACGAAAATATATACAATATAATAAACAATCGACACGTCCTTACTAAAATTATACAGAGTCGTGCCATATTTTCGACGACGTCGGCCCATACGCAAATCAGTTGCTTCAACTATGTGAGTGCATATTCATGTTCGTCAAAATTCCACTCCTATGATTATTGGTATTGACAAAAACGTTCTGTACTCAAAAGCGAGAACAACGGCATTTTTCACTTAGAATCAGAAACTACGGAAAATTGCGAGGAACACGGGGAATTGCTTCAAAGTGAATGTCATTCCCTGGACCGGGCGAATAAAGTACAGTCAGTCAATTGATCTCCAAAATGCGCAAGAAATCTATGTTCTGCTAGTGTTTCATTTACGGCTGTTTCGGGAGAAATACAACCAGTCAGAATGCTTCGGTTTTGTGCAACTATGGTGCTCTCGATAATGACTTATTTTTTGAGCAATACTAACACAAAAGTATTCAAAGTTGGGTTAAGCGAGGCCAAAATAAAGAAGTGATTCAAGAGTCGTTCTGTGCAATGGCTGTAGTTCTGTCAGTAGATATGCTTACGGATCCACCGGCACAATAGCACAGGGCAGGCCGACCAATCAGACCGTTTAGTGTAGCCCTTGTTAACTCTCAGATTTTCTCTATCAAGCATAAAATCCGAATCCGACAGTTTATGTTAAAAAATCAATCACGTGGCTGAAAAATACATACATAATGTTTTTGCTCTTGTCACTGAAACTTCAGACATCTAGCCACACAAAATATGCAGGAAAAGCAAGAGCGTTGAATTTTTTTCGCCTTTCTGCTCGGTGCCTTCATCGCGGTAATGCTAAGCAACATTCTCTTGTCTTTCCAACATGGAAAAACTAAATATTTCATGTGACAGGGCTAGATGCCGGAAGTTGGTAATTTGTCCCATCGACAAAATTGTTAAACACGACTGGCATAGAGAGTCAAACAAATATGTTTGTGTTGGTTAGCATCAAGACTCTTGAATCACTTATGATGTCTATTTGTTTGGTTTACGCGAGACTACCTACCTTTTCTTGTTAAATGTGAGAAGTGTGAATACGCATTGGATCAGTTTTTCATTTTTTTTTCCATACGTGCTCCCTCTCTTGCCTTTTTTTGCGTTTCTGTGCGCCACTGAGAGGTTTTGCTTTCGACATCATTCTGACAGCCTTCGTTATTTTGCCGGTGCGATCAAACCATTGATGACTTAACAAGATCTAACCACAAGACGCCGAAAATCGAAGACTCCCTAGCATTGTAACAAAACGATTTGAGCAGAACTAACATCAAAGCTATAAGATGTGCATTACTGGTTTTGCAATGCAGCTTTTGGTTTTGTGGCTTAAATTTCTAAATTCTAACAGCTTGGGCCCCTTTGCGCTGTGGGCGCGACCGCGGGGATGGATGCTACGCCACTGCATTGTTTACATTTTCAGATACCAGATTAAAGTCGTCGATCAAGAGTCGTAGAGTTACGGCATTCGCGCAAATCTGGCTCTGGTTGCAACAGCTGAGCGATATTCGGGAACATCAGATTTTGATTCAACGGATTCTTCGTGGACGTTGGAAGTAAAAAAAAAGTGTAGGAGATATTTATTTAGGCTTTACTCGATTTGCAGCGGAATCGCAGTTTGAAGTTACGGGCCGTTTCGGTCCACTCAAAGCGACGTGACATCACTCTTCAAATATATAAGTATAGTAATTTTATTCCATATGATTTAAAAGCAGACACAATAATTTTTTTTTTTTTATATATATAAAATATAAAAAACGGTATTCCATTACTTAAAAGTAACACGTTCTTGTTCAAAATAATTGCAAAACATAGATTAACAATCATTTAAAACACCAGGTCGAAAAAAAAATCCGTGTTACTGACTAGGTCTTATTTTTTAAAGGGAGGGCTTATATAAAAATTATTCTCAAAATTCAGGGTAGGTCTTATTTCCGGGGAAACACGGTATATGATGAGAAATGGTGGTTAAATATATTTTTTATGTTCGTATCTGCGGATCCTAGGCCGACGTCGTCGATCAGGGACCGTAGAATTACTGTACAGCATTGGCGTATGCAACTAATTTTGCTCTAACTGGTCTTGAATGGTACGAGAAGCAAACTATCGGTCAAATTGGTGAATAAATATAATTTTAATCTTGATAATCACTTTCGACCGATGGAATGACATGGGCGGTAATAAAATTATGCGGAATTGGTTTCATTATACGATTCAACTGACCTGATATGGCACAGCTTTCGATTCAGAAGATTCTTCGTGTACGTTGGAAAATAAGGAAAAAAGGTAAGATATTCTTATGAATTGAAATATACTCTTTCAAGTATTACATCTACAGTAATTACACCTTTCTTCGAATAATTTTTTAGTTTAAAAAGATCTTTTAGCATTGTGGATGAACTCACGAATGCAAAGAATTCTCACAAGTCTTCAATATTCTATTCAAAAGGATGGATCCAGTTTGGAGGAGTTTACGTTTCAAAATAAAGGGGAAGCCGTACGAATTTGAATATATATATTTTCTAGTCAAATTGTTGATACTGATGACTTAATTGTCACTTACCGAACAATTTATTTATTACTTCAACATTTTTCGTTGCTTATATAGGTGATGTTCATAGAATATTTTTCATATTCAATTGCAGATCGCTATTATGATGCTAAAATCGAAAATGACATTCATTGTGTCACCTATAGATGAACGTACTAACATTTCCAGTCGGACAATTCAAAATTTCGGTACAAAAAAGTTTTCGGTGCCTAATTATCAACTTTTTTTATTATTCATACATCACGCAATTGATGAATTTCTTTTGACAGATTGCATGGAGGCATACTGCAGTTATTGTTCAGAAGCAGGGTGCGTGGAAGAGAAAACAAGTATTGATAATACAAGAAAGATTGGCTGTGATTTGCGTCCGCGATGGTATCATGTTGTTTTCTATAGTGGAGACGTTACTTTGATCGTGCTATGTTCGTTGTAGCTGTTCCGCGTGTAAAAAAGTATATATATAAAACGGAATAAACGCACATAGTAGCCTCTGATATAAACATTTGGGTTTCAGGTATACATTCAGTGAAAAATTGCATGAACGTAATTTAGGTATTGAACAATATGCTTCAAAATCGCATCTCAAAATCACATGTTTAGAAATCGGAGTAAATACTGAATTATAAAACTAGTAGTAATTTATTCGAAGATCCCAGGCATGTTTCGTATTTCATATACAAGCAATGTGCACTACATCGGTTTAAAATTCGTGACACGTCGTAAAGGGGAAGCAGAGATGCTTGGTTTGACTGAATGCAATCAAGAATAAATTAAACCAAGTTCTCAGGACATACACAGACCCTTATTATGACAAATAACAGCAGCTCAAAATCATCTCTACATGATGATTAGTAATTACATGCTTGGTAATTTGTTTTTTAGTCAATTATGGTTCCAGCCAAACGGCGGTCTGGATCTTACTGCTGCATTCCTGGGTGCAAACGTTTATCTGGGAATGGTGATCATTTATATTATGTCAGGGATGGTAAAAAAAAAGAATTTCGGAATGCCTTTAAAAGAATCGGTAAATTTGTGTGGTAACGTTACCGGTAATTTTCCTTTTGCTATTTTAATTTAGTCATCTAAACTAAAGCAACGGGTGTATTTATGCTCCCATTTCAGAATCATTTTGATAAGACATAGACATACGTTGTGTGCATTTAGCCATTGGAAATTACGTAGTCAAGCGTAGAACTATCTCTTGACAAAAATTTGTAACAATGAACATTCACAGGTATCGGTGAAGGAGACACAGAAAATTAATTGCATTCCTGTATATTATATTACAGTTCAGCATCAGTATATATCAGAATTATAAAGTTTTGGTTTTCATTTTGTAGTTGATGGTCTCGCAGCAAATAGGTCAGCTATAAATTTAATAGCAGCCAAAGAGGACAGATTTCCTTACAGGATGAGAAACCCAGCTGATGTTACTCAGTATACAATACTTTTTATTTGTATGTGATGGCATTCATATGTTTCAAGGCATGGTTGTAATGCAACAATTTGAAATTCAAAGGTACATCTACATGCTGACGGATCCACCTCACCTTTTGAGAACCTGCCGTAATAATTTGCTTAGTAGGAAAAAAATATGTGGAACGGGCAAACATCTATATGGAACCTGTAAAGCATCTGGTAAGGGTATGAATATATGTCGTTGTAAAAGCCTCTGCTTAACACTTTCATCATGCAAAAACTTTCTTTTTGGGAAGATCTAAAGCGGGGAGAGTTGAGGCTCTTTTATAAAATCTCTGAATCACATATTAATTCAATACCGTGGGATAAAATGAGTGTTCGTATCGCAGCACAAACTTTGTCTTATACTGTAGATAAGATATATACTCCTGTAAGGTTGAAACAGCTTGAATTTGATTCAGCTGGTTCGTGGTTTTGAGGGTTTAGCAGAGTTTATTTTAAATTCAGACAAGTGGTTTTGAGGGTTTAGCAGAGTTTATTTTAAATTCAGACAAGTGGTTCGACTGCATGAATTCAGGATTCCAGAATAAAAATGCTAACTGTAACTGGCTTACTGTAAAACAGGCCTATAGGCATCGCTCTATGTTTATGCTATAGAAAATGTAGGTGCCCATTGTGACATCACTGTTTGATTGTCCATTATGGAGTGGCACGTTCAGACGTTGCTGATTTGCAGACTAAAAATGTGTGTGTTTCCATGGGAATGTGTAAGTGTGTTTCCATGGGCAATATTACTAGGGCGGACTAGGACACAAAACCGCGACCTGTTTCCATGCAATCGAGAATTTAAAGTCGAGGTGCATTATTGGTAAAATAAGTACACGCTCGGATGATCTTGAATTGTGTCTTCGTTCGGCCTGAGTGATCTCCGCTGTAAATATTTTGGTTGCGTTGGGATTTCCCCAATTCATATGGATCTGTTACTCGTGTTTGTCCTTAGATTTCTCTCCTGGATATTATTCTGAATATGGACAGAGTAAAGAATTTATTAGCGGTTTTTTTTTCGCGATGCAGGCGCTGGTCTTATGGTTACACACAAGAAGAATTAGGACGTTGCTGGCGTTGACTCAATGGGGAACGGAAAGAATTCCAAGAAAAATATGGATGGAGTACCGGTAATTCCTTTGTTTTGTACATGCCAAACTACGGTAACTTATTAAATCATAATAGCACCGTTGGTAACATATTAGCCTATATCGAGCAGTACCATATGAGCTAAAATTTTGACAATATGCTTTTCAGGCCAGATGATTGGTGGCTGAATGCGATGAAAAATTACAGTGAACAACAATGGTTATCGAATTTTAGAACACGAAAAGAAACATTTTCTATGTTAACAACATTATCACGTAGCGAGTTAGAGCCGGGTAAATGATTTATTTAATGATATTATCTTATGTAACAATGCGAACTACCTAACATTGAAGACATAAATTACAGTTGCATAAAGTTTCAAGGCTCCTTCAATATGTTTACTCATTTGTGCATTCTTTTTATGTCGACGAAAGGTGTGTTCGTACGCCACTATCGCTACACAAACGAATTGCGATTGCAGTATACCAATTGGGATCAACCTCTGAATTTAGGACCACAGGGAACATGTTTGGGGTACATCGAACATCTGTTCACAGGTATGTATATTTCACCAATAGTTGAGCATGTTTCACTTTCATGATTGCTTGTTTTCTCATTTATCCATAATTTTGTGAATGTCTCATCAAGCATCAAAAGCAATTCATTTTTCTACCAACCGCTGCTGAAGCAAAAACCATAGCAGCAGCCAATCAGCAACTAACTTGGTTTCCACAACGTTTCGGGGCAATAGATGGGAGCCACTTTCACATTAAACCATCAAGATCTGGATTAAGAGATTATGTGAATCGGAAAATGTACCCGTCTATAGTCCTACAGGCTGTAGCTGACAATCAGTACAGGTTAGTACATTTTTTAAGTTTTTGCTAGTTGAAAATTTAATTATTTTATTACATTTTGGTTTTTCTGTTATGTGTTATATGGGCAAAATATAAAAATGCGACTACACCACAGTTTTTGTGTTAGCACTAAGACTTTTGTTTGTTCAAGTCAATCACATTTTATGTCTTGTCATGTTTTATGTCATTGTCCATTTACTGTCTTCTGTTGTATGTACAATCAATGTCATATTTGTTGTGCTGTTTTTTGTTCATGTCTGTGCAATAAAAGCTAGAATTTTGATATCATTATGTAGTGTTAAATATCAGATTCAGAGACATCAGTATCAAGATGCCAGGCAGCGTTCATGATGCTACAGTCTTGAGAGCTTCTGGACTATACAGGAACTCTGAAATGCTCCCTTCGGTAGGACAGCTTGAGCATTCCAGACTCTAAAGGGTGAGATCACCATTAATGGATCTCCAGTGCCCTTATGCATCGTTGGTGATAGCGCGTACCCCTCTTTACCATGGCTGTTACGCCCATACACTGGGTCTTCTCTCACGCCCAGGCAAGAGAGATATAATGAGCACCATAGTAAGGTAAACAGGCACTTTTATGTGCTCAAACACACACATGTTATAATTAACTAAGCATGAGCTATTTCTGCAGGTACGTGTACAGTGGAAAACTGTTTTGGCTGGCCTGAAAGCAGGTGGCGGATTCTTCGGCGGCTAGATGTTAGAGTCGCTGAGGCACCGGAGATCATTGCAGCGTGTTGTATTATGCACAATATCTGCGAAACCGAGAAAGCGCCAGTGCCAAGGAATCCCTTAAATGAAGCACCACAACCTCCAACTGTTGGCATCCGAGAAGAAGGTGCTAAAAATAACACCCATGGGGTCATTGCCGACTACCTTTTTGAACTGTATGGACGTGTGTGACTAATTAGTTATTTCACTTATTTTTCAATTTCTGTTTAATTTTGCCTTGTTATAGTTGAATAAATAGTTCTCTAATATTTTATTTGTTGAATTCTCCAAAGCTGATGCAAATGCAAGTATATCTTTTTCACATTCTTCCCGAAATACTCTCAAGAGAGCTTCAGTTCTGGAATCTGAAAGTTATAAAATAGAACATCAGTAACAGCAATGATGCGCCATCAGCCAGTAATTCTTACGGTAGGGGAAGGTTGGGACACTTTTTTTCTTTTGCATATTTTGAGCCGTTAATTCTGCATATTCTCTTAAGTTTGCGGGACTAATGCATAGAGGGGTAAATGTAGTTTTTATTCAGCAACAAAGAAATTCCCTTGCGACACACATCTTACTACCAAAATGCTTTGAAAAACGTCTGTCAAGTGTCCCACTGTACCCCACTTGTGGGGCACAATCGGACAGACCCTGGGGCACAATGGGTCAGTCTGTCAAAATTCAACGAAGTATGCCCTTAAAAATAAGCAATTAATCAGAGACTTCGAATTTGAAGATTTAATATTTTTAAAATCAATGTTCAACTGAAATAGTTCAGATATTTTGACAAAACATTTTGCAAAAAAATTTGATTATTTCCTTCCTCGAATCTAAATCTGGAAATATTATTGATTCTCGAATATATTCCATATTGGGCCATGGGTCGAAAGAAACCATTATATTACACAAAATATAACGCATCTCTAGGTCTCTAAGCATCTATTGTATCAAACACTGTCGAATTGTGCCCTGTATAGCATGTCCCACTGAACCCCGGTCCATTGTTATCCCCATAGGAAACAAATACTTTCAGACCATCCCACGGCAAAATTCGGAAGGCACAGCCAATCGCTAACGTTAGGAATATTTTACAGTGGACTGACGCTAAAGGATATCAGACGATGGTTTGTCTCGTAGGAAAGGCTAAACTAAAAAAAAGAAAAAACTGGAACGGTGAAATTTTTTTTTCAACCTCCCAAAACCAATTTCATCCCATAGCTTGCGCCGCTCTACCCGTCCGTTGTCCGTTCGCGGGGACGTTGTAACTCACCGAAGGGCGGATTGGAACATCGAGCCGCGGACAGGATTGCGGATATAGTATCAGTGTGATAGCTGATTTTCCACTGTGCCCCATGTCCCAACGTACCCCACCTTCCCCTATATATCTATTAACCATAATTTTCTCTGCTACTCTGTCTTCTCCTGCCTCGCTGGCTTGAAGTTGGTGGAGCATGGCTGACACTTTCATCAACTGAAGATAAAGCATATTACAATAATTTATAAATACATTGCCTCAAACCGTAATTCGGGTTGGAGACGCTAATCATAAACATAAAAAATTAAAAATGACTCTTCGACAAACCCTGCGGCAGTTCCTGTTGCAACTCACCCTCCGACATCTTCTTGCAGGAGACTGCTATCTAGATTGTCAACTAAAAATAATGTATTAAAGTTAAAAAAGAGTTTGATGATTCCAACAACCCTTCCACCAATTTCATTGCATAATATCCTGTACTGACCCTCTATTTCAGCCACAAACTGAGTGACGGTTGCGTCGAAACTATGGCCTTGTGCGATTGACGGCTCACTGGTATCAACACCAATCATGGAGGCCAAAGCCTGAAAATATGAATAAATGATTATTCAAATATCAATCACGACGATAAAAAAAAATTGAGTAGAAGCAAATAATAAAACAGTGTAAAACATGAAAATCATAAAACTACAAAACTTGCTAGCTTCAAAATTATTTAAACACCCACCTGCAATCTTGGTCTGGAGCCAAGAAGCTCATGCATGGCCCTAAAATATGGCCAATTCAACGCAGACCTGGAACTTTTTCCAGATTGTGATGTTTTCGTTTTAATTTGATTATATTTCGCCTTTAACCGCTTCCACTTGTTCTTCACAGTAACACTATCCTAGCAACATGAAAAAATCTTCACTTATTTTTGTAGCGAGTGTAGAAAATTTACTCCCATTATAAACCAGACTAACATTTTTCTATTTCTTTGCAAAACTTACACGTCCATATCGCGATATTCCTTCTCCACTAGCATTCTCGCCACTTCCTTTATCACAACAACATTTCTAACCGCAGTGCTGTCGCTTTTCTCAACCAGCTTAATCTGCTTAGCTGCATCGATCAAGTCGAATGTTGCTTCTGGTGACCAATTGAACATTCTAAATAGAAATCAATTTCCTTTCCTCAACATGACAACTATCATACCATCTAACTATGCCCTGCCAATCTGTACACAACTGGTTTAATGAGGAAGCAAGTTTTCCTTATTGCGACACACAAAACATGAAAAAATAAACTAGACATGGAGATAGACAGGAAGCACAATAACACAGAAACATGATTGAATGCGCAACAACAAAATACATATATACATGGAAAAAATAAATTAGACAGTCATAAGGATAAACTGAACACATACAGTCAGTTAACAAAAACATTTACAAGTTCGACGTGAAGGACAATAAAACAGAAATATGCAAAACAAAACAATAACATATCAACAGTGGCTTTTTACAAAGACACACAAAATAGTTGACAAAATTTATATAAACTATGCACAGACAAATATAAAAACAAAATTCAATCAGAAAGCAAAACTGACGTAGGGGGATAAACTGAACACATACAACAGTCAGTTAACAAAAACATTTACAAGTTTGACGTGAAGGACAATAAAACAGAAATATGCAGAACAAAATATTAACAGTGACTTTTTACAAATAAAGACACACAAAATAGACAAAATCTATATAAACTATGCACAGTCAAATAAAAAAACAAAATCTAATCGGAAAGCAAAACTCAAATCAAAACAGGATAGCTGTGGCAAAAATTTTCATTTGATAGGCTATACAGCTACGGTATAAGTATAACTTTATTTCAACTCCATAATCAGCAGTAGACGATAAAATAATAGATAAAAAGAAAACAATTGACTATAGAATCGCAAACAAAACCTAGGTAAGTTTTGGAGCGTACAAATTTAAGATGGAAAGGAATCGATAAAAAAAAGTAGTACGTGTTCGCTCACCCAAAAGTACGGTGTATAGGAAAAATTAAAGCACACACACTCATACAATCATCAAGATATGATAAGGTTGGAAGTTGAAAAAGCGAGACTTGAAATCAAATAAATTACCCAGTAAAAAGAAAAATATACAAACAAATAAAAAAATGAATAATGGTTATAGTAAGCTATGTCAGTATGTATAAATTTTGTTCACTCACTTGTATTTGTCCAGTATTTAATCTGACAATGTTTTGGACGAAAAATGGTAGATACTGTTGGTGTCCGTATATCAAGATATACTAACAGTTGTTGAAGCAATCACAGCATTCACGAAAATTAAATAAGTTAATGGTCAAATAGGTTGTCCATAGAGCATATGTGATACAAAATAAAAAGAATGTTAGTCTACATAAAAAGTTATTGAGAGATACGGTACCGTACCGGTATCGTTGAATGTTTAGTCTGCTACCGTACCATTTATTTACACTAAATCCTCATCTGCCATCGTGAGTTTGAAGGTTGAGATACAGTACCGCATCTTGCAATGCCATTACTTACAAGTGACAAATTTAAACCCAGGTGGATCCCCCACGAAGAAAGGCCACAAAAATGTCATCTGCGAGAAACATCGAAAGTCGCTATAACTGAAAATAACGCATAAGCGCCTTGAATACTGGGACTCAGTAGGACGAAGACCCGGTGAAGAAGTAGGACGTACTAGGACGCGCCATGACGTCACATCGTTGACCATATAAGAAATGCGCGTCCTAGTAATATTGTCCATGGAAATACACTTATTGTTGTATGTACTCTGCAGTATAGGCAGTTTGTTATAAGTAGGTTGACAGGTATTGGGACTAATAATTAATTTAAAGGTGGAATAGCAGTGAAAGGATATATTAGGCTTTTCTATGTCTTCAATCAAAATAGCATATACTTGCTATTAAGCATTTGATTTTTTTTCTAATCTAGGCTTTTTATAAATGATAGGCTAGCAGAGGCAAGTAAGCACTTGCTCTACCTGTATGTGCTATAAAGCAGGGGTGTGCAAAGTGCGGCCCGCAAGGGAAAATTGTGCGGCCCGCGGAGGCAACTGAATAGCAGTTTGAAAAATTTTAATATTAAGAGATAAAATAGCTAAATGAGCTTTGGTTCCAGCCTATCAGTTGATGTTGTCTAAATCGAACCTAGAATAAGATTTGACAGCAAATTATTTGGAAATGAAACTTGGCGCATTTTACTGAAAACTTCTCAATCAAGTTACTTCCCACATTTGAAAAAGTCATGGCTTCAAATATGGCACTTTTCGGTAATATATTTTTGTTCTAAAATGGGCGTCGCATCGAATTGGTAGCACTTCCATTTAAGCAAATTTGGATAGAAGTAGTCGGGAAAAGAATCCAGCAGAAAATTTCTCACTGAATTCGTTTAAATTGGGTCCAACAATATATATCTTTAAATTACAGTTCTAGGAACTTAATGCGTTTTACCTCATCATTTCTGTAAGGACCATGAGATCAATAACAAAAAGACACCATTTTGTGCCTGCAACGAATAGAAAGCCTGTGTGAAATGTAGGTGCGGCCCGCGGTTTAACCCGGTTATTGATATTTGGCCCGCCTGCGAAAAAGGTTGCACACCCCTGCTTTAAAGTAAACACGCCCAAATTTTTTTTTGTCAAGGGATAAGTAAAGTAAGTTCGAGCCACAGGCAGTGTGCATAAGATCATGTATAACGTGCGTGTGTAATAGATAGTTTATTTCGAAAACTCCATAACAAACCTAGATTTAAAATGGAGAATTCTGGAGGGCAAGCAAAACCTACAAAAAAGTTTAAAACACGAAGTATCTCATGTGCCTGCCCACCAGCACGCACACAAAAACACAAGCCCAATTAAATGAGGCTTGGGTCAAACTTAAAAAACAAAATACACGATAGTAATAAACTTTCGGGCTGTTGTACTCTCTTTCAACAATTACGTTGATAATGACCAATACCTACAACCTCATGCAAAGATAATGTGGGGAGTGGAATGTAATAAATTTGCGACGATAGTCATACTCATGAAGCCATGAAAGCTTTAAGAAAAACCAAGCCATGAAAAACTACACTGATTGCTAGATTGGGCATTGCGGAAAAGGTGATAAGTGGTTTAATATACAAACAAACGCAAAACCATGGCGGCAAATTCGGTGTGCGGACACTCATAAAAGCAATTATTAGGAAAAACACTAATCACACGTGAGCAGGTCTGTAGCCTAATTGATACATTGACGTGGCCAACATTGTTAAAACAGTACCGGTACCGGTATACACACAGAGAGTAAGTTACACTGCAAACTATTTACACATATATAGTTGAATACTCAGTATTCAAGCGGAATTTCTAGAAATAGCAGTATATCATACTCTTTGTCACAAAATAAAATATCTGAATCAATCCCTGTTGTATTCATCTTTCGATTCTGTTATGATGTCCGTATGTTGCCTTTATGCTGCCATGTAATTTCATATTTCGGCCTTTACTTGTTGATATTCCTTAAGTGCTGGTTCATTGTTGTCAATCTAATCTTTCTGCGCCGTTCAAAAATGCGACCGCACCCGACGACTGCCAAACACAAACTTTAAATCCAATCTTTTATCCATAAACTTCTTTAATTCCGGTTGATGGGCCTTGATCATGTTGATATCACGAGATACAAATCTAATAGTGAATACCGAAACACACAGCGCGTAGCATTCTCAGTCCAACAGCATTGATTGATCTTTCATCTAACAGAGCAACAAAAACACGTCCGACACAGACTGGCAGAAGTCAATTCACTAATAGATTCTTAATACAACCAAATACTCCAATCTATATGACTCCACTGGTTCACAAGGATCGGTGGCATCGGATAAAGTAGCAAATGAGCCCAACCATTACATGCAATGCGGTTACGTGAAATCGAAATGCAAATATTGCTGTCATGTCAGAAGAGGCCCGCCCGCAAGAGAGTTTTTCATTATCGTTATGAAAGTTTAATCAAGTCGCAGGCAGTTTTATGCAGGGTTCTACCACAAAAAGAAAAGATCGAAATATTTTCTTACAAGACAGCTTTTCTTATTGCTCGGCATAAGCGACCTTTCACTGGGGGTGAGACTATTATAAAGCCTGCTTTAAACAACTTTTGTGAAGTATTTGAGGGTGTGAACTTTTTGCTAGAGAGGTACAGGAAGCTGTTAATAATTCTGCTCTTAGTAATAATACTATAACAAGACGCATTCAAACTATTGCAGCTGATCTAAAAAAACAGATTTTAGAGGATTTCAGAAATTCGCCATGGACAGCCCTGGCAGTGGATGAGTCAACTGATACAACAGCACACGCACAGCTTCTGATCTTAGGAAGATTTTTGAAAGAGAGCTCAGTCACTGAGGAACTGCTTGCTTGCATTTCACTTGAAACCACAACAAGAGGCAAAGATATTTTTAGTGGTATTGATAAGTTCTTCACTGAAAATAACCTAGATTGGAATAAAGTGATTGAATGTGGTATGTATGGGGCCCCATCAATGATGGGAAAGAATATTGGAGTTCTGGGAAATCTTTCTAGGGAATATCCTCACATTAAGATAAACCACTGTAATTCATCGTCAGAATTTGGCCTCAAAAAACTTGTCTCCGAACTTCTCTGATGTAATGCAGATAGTCATATCCACTGTCAATTATGTGAAAGCTAGAGAACTAAATTCCCGCTTGTTCAAACAATTGTGCATTACTGAAAATTCAAATCATCACACATTATTAATGCACACTGCTGTCAGGTGGCTGTCAAGGGGAAAAACTTTGGAAAGGATTTTCCTTCTTCGTCGTGAACTTGCCATATTTTTGCAAGATAAGGGGCACGAGAACGCTCGTTATTTTCATGATCCACACTTTCTTGCTCGCCTTGCGCTTCTTACTGACGTTTTTGAACACGTTAATAAGCTTAACACTCAACTTCAGGGG